ACTCGGGCGGGTGCAGCAGCGGAGGGAGCGTGGCTGGAGCGGGGGCTGCGCCTGGGATAGCTGTCAGCCCATCGTTCTATGGGGTGGGGGTTTTTTTAAAGAGTAAAAATACCATAACTTTTCCAGTGTTATTTTTTCGGGGCTTGTTTCTCGTCCTTGCGTTTCCCCACGGGCCGGGTCCAGTAGGTGGCACTTTCTTGGCAGCAAAATGTCCGTCTGGCACAGAACGCAGCTTTTTTTTGTTGTTCCTAATGAAGTCTGGAGATGGTAGTTTCCAGCAGCTGTTTGTTTGCAAACCTCGGGGTCTCCTCCGTTCGGGATGCGTGCGGAGGGAATTCGGGCTGTTCCCCACCGGGCACCTCGGTGAGCTGCTCTCTCGGGGGCCGAGCTCTCCCCGGCCGTGACCTCGGCAGGATTCATCGCCCTATTTCGGAACGGAGGGAAGGCTTGCTCGGAGCTGCCCCGTTCCCTCGCATGACAGCTCCGGCTCCCCATGAGCTTTCGTCTGCATGAAAGAGTTGGAGCACAGCTCTCCTGTTCCCTTTCACTTATTTGCCTGGAAAATCCCAGTGCAAACTCCACCGAGGACAAGGCTCGGGGACGAACGATTTGACTGACGTTATTTTTAAATACTGGAAATAATTGTGAGACAACACAGAGGTAAAACACAGTGATTGCCCTGCTGTAATTAGGACAACGGGTAGTAACGCTTGCATTGCTGGGCTGCGCTGAAACGCTGCGCGAAGCGAGTGCTGTCACAGGGATCAGACCCATCGGGGAGTGTTTGTCCAAGAGCTCCAGCGCTGGGCTGCTTTGGTGGGATCTGCCCCTAAAAAAGGGCTTTTTCCAAGTTAAAGAAAAGCCAGCAACAGGCTCAGCCCCAGCTGACACGCAGCAGCCTGGCAGGCTGAGGCAGAGACCCACGCAGGGTTTCACCCGTGACTGCCGCATGCAGTAGCGCACTCCTGGCTCCGTTCAGTTGCGCGATCGAGTTTTCAGTTCATCAGAGACATAAATTAGCCCTTCACACGCAGCGAGGGCAGGCAGCAGTACTGAACCAAGGAGCCCTTTAAAACAGGACTGTGAAGAGGGACGTGGGCTCCACTGCAGGAACGCGTCTGTGAGTGGCAAAGGTCACTGCTTCGCCCTCTTTAAAACCGAGGCTCAAACTGGTGTTTGGGATAACACGAACCGCTCGATCCCCGCTGCGCTCGGGCCTGGCTCGTACCTGCTGCTGGTTTCTGCCGCTGAAGCCTTAGGAAGCCAGGCTGGCTGAGGACCTGGTGCTTTTTCAGCTGGATCGCAGCCCTCCGGCTCGCGCTGGCACCTGCAGGCAGTCCAGTGCAGGATCCGCTCCGCTGTACCCTGCAGGGCAGGCTGCGTTTGTCATATCGTGACAGAGCTTAGAGGGACTGGGGCTGTTTTCAGGCACTTGAGGAAAAAGTTGAGCACTGGCATCGTTGAACTGGATGTTGGTGAAGTCCTGGGGAAGGGAACAGCTGTGAAAGAAGGTGAAGCGCGGCTGCTGTGTGTTCACACGCGCGCCCACTTGCGTGCTGTGACAAAGCAGTTTGCCAAGACAAGCTTTCAGCCCTTGCCCCTCTGCCAGTCACCACCCAACGCGAGGGTGGGCAAAGACACCGAGGCAGAGGCGAGCAGCCCGGCCGCTGCGCAACGCGAGGAGGAAATGTCTTCGGGCCACGGGCTCTGTATTGTGAAGGCAGAGAGACTCTCTGCTTCGGTGCCCACCTTTCACAGAATCACAGAATGGTAGGGGTTGGAAGGGACCTCTGTGGGTCATCTAGTCCAACCCCCTGCTGAAGCAAGGGGACTGCAAAAAACTTGTCGACTTGTCAACTGCAAACAACTCACCATCAGTCGGAGTGACAAAACCCGGCCCCGAGCCTGGCGAAATAGGTCCTACGTGTCGTTGCTGCTGGGGCTCCGTCTGCCCGGCTCCCAGGGCTCCAGGCACTGGTCTGTACGGACCAGCGTGCCAAGATGGGTGGCAGCTCGCTTGCAGGTGCGTCGCAGAGAAGACGCTGTCTTCGGTAACGTGAACAGCAGCCACCATTTTGTTGGGCTGTTCCACTGTGGCTGGCTGGCTGGGTTCCACCCA